ACAATTTAATTTTGCAACAATTTACGCTCTGATAACAATAAACCTGTTCTTTTTGTGTTTTAAACTTGCCTCCTTCACTGATTTCCACGTTTGGAGCATTCCACACTACCCAAGGTGCCTCACAACACAGATAAGGATAACCAGAGATCATTTTTACAAATATCTCTTATATTATGGTGGCAATTTAAGCTAGAAGTCTCAAATCTTTATTACATCTGTGTGGTGATCCTATTTATTTGGGATTTTACACCATTATTTCATTTTGGAGACTTCCTCACATATTTTGGTGGCAGCAAGTGAACGGTTTTAAATTTTTAGTAACAAGCGGTGGGAGTCACGGCTTCGCACCATCTTTTAGGATTTCTGGGAGTTGAAGGCCAAAACATCTGGGGACCCATAGGCTAAGAACCACTGTCATAGAGCATGAGTAGGGAATATGTGTACATTTGGATGTTGTTAGAAAGCACTCTGATGAGTCCTAGCAATAATAGCAATGAAGTGAGTTTTCAGAAGATGCTATCCAGCAATGTCTATGTGCATTCCTTATACTTCCCCCAGGTGTTCAGTGACACTATGTGGCTTTGTAGGATTAATTGTCAGTATAATAATATATAATAATATAGTCATGAGCAAATTCAGGATCAGCAAATTCAGGATCTGCAGTTTCATTTATCAATGTCTGGCAAAATATGTCATCTCTAGGCATTTTTGGGGTTTTCCAGTGAAATATGTTATTGTTGAGACAGAAGTCCTTCATTTCAATAGGGTTCACTATTATCCACTGTTTCAGAAAGATATCCCCTGCAGATATGGGGGCTGTATTGCAAATTGTTAATACAGTGAACCTTTGGTCATCCAGATATTTTGGACTAGAGTATCCACAGTTTCTATTGGTCATGGTGGCCGGAGATTCTAGGAGGTCAGGTCCAAAACATCCAAAACATCCAAAACATCCAAAGTTCCTCGTTTGTGTGTGTGTGTGTGCATGTGTGCGCACACGCATGAATACAGAGATATCACAAAAGTTAAGAGTAATGATTAAAAGGACAAAGAACATTCACAAGAGGAAAACAGATTATGCTGGGTGCATCAAACTCCACAAAGCGTTGATAAACCAAATTATAGCATTTATGTGCATTTTTAAAGATGGTATTTCAGTTTCATGATTGCTGCCTTTGGGAAATAGCACATTTATCGAATAGAAGTTGAAGTCATTGCTGCATAAATAGTAGGGTGGTAGAGAGTGAGCAAACAGATATTTTCCAGGGTAATTTTTCCATTTTAGCCCCCAATTCCTTAAGTCCTTACTGTTAAAATTGTTGGGGTCACAAAAGCCCAACAGACTTTCCAGAATATGCTTGGCTGGAATCCAATCATCATCTCTATATCTTCACAAAATCTTTGCAAGCCTGCAAAATAAACAAACATAAATTCAAAATGCAAAAGAGATCAAGCTGTAGCTTACAAAAGAGCTATTGTGTTCTCCCCTGTGTCCAATTACAGAAATAGACACTTTGACTTGTCAGTCCAACTCTTCAAGAGACATTTCTAACCATATGGTAGAATGTGGGACTTTGTATACAAAAAGCTGTTCTAAGAAATTATTTACTTTCAGAAATTATATGATACAAAAATATTACCCATATTTCTGGGTTTTGTACTCTTATTGAATTGGAATTCAAGGGATTAAGAGTACTATTCATTTTTTCATTTTCTCCCCAAAGAAACCAAAGAAGCCCCCCACCCCGCAGTGTGATGAAGATCTGTGGAAACCTAATGAAAATGAATGGCAGTTACAGCAGAGTTTACCAAAATGCTCTCTTGAAAGCAAACTTTAGAGATCTAGTATGTATTTTCAAAATGTGTAGATCTGTTCACACATTTGCTGATGACCCTGTGAAAACAGTTGCAAATTGTTTCCCTGGACGTAGTCCTATTAATGTGAACTAAACAGCCAAGAGTCCTGTAGCACTTAGCAGCTAACCAGTTTATTACAATATTAATTTTCATGGATTGTAGTCTACTTCATCAGATACACAATGAAATGAAATTATAGCTCATTGATAAGCTTTCACTTTATCATGAGTTGCTATTATTTAACCATTCTTTTGCCAACCCAATCAAGCTGGTGGTGTGAGGAGCAGAAGAAAGGGTACCTTTGTGTTGAGTTCTTAATATTGTATGTATGCACCCAGAACCAAAAGTAAGCAAAAGTAAATCTTAAAATATAGCTATCCACCTTGATCCCCATAACCATGCTCCTAAAGAAGGCAGTTGTGATGACTGCTGTCTCTTTCTTCCTGTGTGTATGTGTGTAATCATAGAAATGGAAGGGACCACAGGGGCCATCCAGTTTACTACCACCACCGTACCCTACCTACTATATATACCCTACCTACTACACACACACACACACACAAACATACACATTAGTTTTCAACACTCTTTCCCCCCTAAATGAGGGAGAAACAGTTTCATCCAAACTATCTGTGTGGTATCTACACCAGCAAAATAACCCAGCTGTATTATCAGAGTATTCTGCCCGGGACCTGCACATCGCTCCTATAGCACCACACCTACACCTACAGCACACTGACACAAATCCCCCTGCCCAAATTCAGATCTCTTTTTTTCTTCTGTTCCACCCACTCTCCATCTGAGCCAGCTGTGAATGAATCCCCATCTGCTGGGGGGGGGGGGAATAAATATTGTCTTTCTCCTTGGGGCTACTGATCCACCATTTTCTCGGCCAAGTACCTCCCTCTTGCAAAGCCACTTGCTCTGAGATTAGAAAGAGGCACGGTCATGCAATTGGTGATGAGGGATAGCCTGATTGACCTACTCAGCACCCCAGGGAGAAAGACAGTTTGTTTTGCCTACTCAACAATATGGGTTAATCCCTCAATGACACCCCAACTCAAAGAGGTACATTAGAAAAAGTATTTCCTCTAGAAACTGTGAAACAAGAAATTAGTTTTTAATGCATTAAAAGTTAAAGATCACTTTCACTGTTAAAGCAGTTGTACGTAGTTTTTTCCTTCCAGACTGGAATAGAGGTAGATACAGGTTTTTTCCTCTGATATAGACAGTCCCTTAGAGGATAGCAATTTGTATCAGAAAAACAAGGAGGTTTGAAGCAGATTATTGCTGATATTATTATCCCTGAGAACTACAAAATCCAAGAGCTTCAACTCTGACTCCACTCCACCACATTTCTCTGCATGGCAAACCTATCAAGATTAAATTCTGTAAGTGTAGTTGAGGTCAAATATGAGGATTATAGAGCAAGGTGTGTTTAAGTTTGTTCTGGAAACAATATAGTTGATTCTCTGTTTAAAAGATCAGGTTAGATAGAAACAATGAAAAATGCAACCAAAAGAAATCATGAAGCATAAAACCAGTTGCAAAACATCTTTGGTAGTGTATCCCAGCAGCAACAGAAGCATATCTTTTGATGACAATAATACAATTATAGTATTATAATATAATAATATTTCTCTTATTTCAGTCCACTGCTTCTTTTGTTTAGCAGGCCTTTAAAAGACTGCACATCGCTTCCACTAGTTCTGTGTACACAGCAGGCACCTGCTGTCTTAATTAAAAGGAACTAATATTGATTGGGTGCAGCTTCTTTTTCAGACTTATGGCTCAGTGATACACATCTTTGGCACCAGATGATGACTAGACAGTACGATTTCTGTTCCCTTGACTTCTCACTGCCATTCTCTGCACTTGTTTACTGCTAAGTAAACTGCCTCTGCTCAGTAACAGATGTTTTCTAAGAGAAACCCACACAACACAGAAACATTGCCATAGCTGTTAATTATTCACTCCTAAAGAACAAAAACATCCCACTTCAAAACAAAACAGAAGGTGTAACTTCTCTATGGGTGACAGTGACAGATCAAAACAGAATTTGCTGCTCTGGTGTGCATTTCAAATGCTTAGGTCCACTCCAAGCAAAATCAAAACATCTGGCCTCACTGACTACAACTAGGTAAAGTGGAAGGCAGAGAGTCAGCATAACACAGTGGGTTGAGTGTTGTATTAGGAATCTAGGAGATGTGGCTTCAAATCTCCACTTGGCCATGGAATCCCACTGGATGACCTTGGGAAGTCATTCTTAGACTAAATCATTAAATAATTTTTGTTCAAAAATTATGAAGTAAAGCCAAGGTAGCTGTCATGTTCATGTCCCAAGAAGTGTACGAAAAGTCAGGCAGCACGAGCAGGTAGTGGTTCCCTGGTAAATTGGGCGGAGATTCCAGTCTAGATTTTGATCTAAACTTCAAGGATGTTATCCAAGGTTCTGAACTAGATCCCTAAAATAGATCCCAGACTTTGGCTGGTTGGACTCAAATCCAAGCAAAATCACCACTCAAAGAGAGATGGGGGTGATTTCCTGCCACTGCTAGGCAACTGAGTTGATCCATGACAACAATTCTAGCCACTTTCATTTCCAGCAAGAACAAGTCTTTTTAAAAGGCAATGAGTTTTAATTACCCACGAATACAATCAGCCCTCCACATTTACAGATTTGATTTTTCATGGACTTGATTAAAATGTTCTAAGAATCTCTAGTTCCTCCGTTTTGACTCTATGATCCACATCTGCTAGAGGTTGACTATAGATTCACACTGGAAGGGGTACTGATTTCAAGAGAGAACACCACTCAATAAATCTTTAGATCTTCTAGTGCAAGTCTGTGATCAACAGCTGGCAGATGTTGACCACAGAGTTGTGCTGGAGGACCTAGACATTTCTAATTAGAAAAAGTAGTGAAGTTTTTGTGGTTTTTTCACTTCTGTGGGAATCTTGTGCCCCTAATCTTAGTGAATGTGGAGTACTGGCTATTGTTCTTCTCTCTGCTCTTTGCCAGCTTTTGGTAAGTAGGTAGCTGTTTACCTCTTGTGTGTCTGATACACAGCTAATAAAAGTTATTTATTAAAAATAGGATTTCCAGAATTTGGTGTTGGCAATTTGGTGGTGAACACAAGACACTGGATCTCCAGCATGTGTGATATCTACTGCTTATACAAAAGAGAAAAAAACAACAGGGATTCCTAGGTAGTCCTAAGCATACTTACATATTAATATTACTTTCAAGTAAATGTATATACTAGGAGCCAGCATGGTGTAGTGGTTTGTGCAATGGAATATGAGGCTTGAGACCCAAGGTGTGAATCCCACTCAGTCATGGAACCCACTGGGTGATTATGGGCAAATTGCACTCTTTCAGCCTCAAAGGAAAGCAAAAACAAGCCTCATGTAAACAAATCTTGCCAGGAAAACTCCATGAAATGTTTACTTTAAAGTGGCCATGTCAGAAATGAGTTGAAGGCACACAACAAAGACAACAACTACAACAATGGGACCTGCAGCCCAAGCCAGTAAGTTTGTACATTGATGTGTGAACTGGGCAGATGTCTAGGTTGCTGCAGCTCTAGTTTTGCACTGATGCTCACAATAGTTTTTTAATTGCAGTTCCACTCTAGTGAGAACAAACATTAGTTTAGTGTGGACTTTGGGGATGCAAGTAGAAGTACAGCTGCCTTAAAGTTTTATTTGATGTTGCCATAGGGATTTGCACATGTTCAGAGGAGCAGCAAACCAAATGGTTATTTTCTGTCATGGACTACTGCACTGGGATTCATTGTTTCATTGGCCACTTCAGTTTACTACCTGTTTGGGCAGAGCTACAAAGACGTGGAGAAAGTGCACATTTCTGTATGTTTTTTGTTTCTGTTGGACTTTACATTGAGCAAGAGCAGAAGAAGTAGTAGTTATGAGAATGTGTTGTGCGCTTTTGAGTGCTCATTGTGAAAGACCATGTGGATCCAGAATAAGTCTTCACAGTCATTTATAGACACACACACACACCCCACATCAAGATTCCACCTTTGGAAGACAATTATACTCAGTCACGAGTAATCACCGATGATGATGATGATGATGATGATGATGATGATGATGATGATGATTATTATTATTATTATTATTATTATGAGTGGATTGGGATCAGTTGGCATGGTTGGCTATGGAGGAGGCTGTGTGAGAAAGATGGGAAGGTTGGGAGAAAGTGTGGTATAGATTTTGTGTGTGTATGTACCTTTAAGTTGCATGTTGACATAGGGGTTTTTTTAGGCATTGCCTTACTCTGAAATATAGCATACAGCAGTGGTTTTCTGACTGTCTGATAAAGGGTAAATGCAACTACAGTTGAGTTTCACTTATCCAACCTTTGCTCATCCAATGTTCTGTATTATCCAATGCAGTGTGCCTCCCATCTGAAATAATGTCCAGGGTGGGAGAAAGAAAGAACCCTTGTCTGTTTTGGTGCTAAATTTGTAAATACGGTAATTACTACATAACATTACTGTGTATTGAATTGCTTTTTCTGTCAGTTTGT